AATTCTAGTCAAGTTGAGTCGAGCTAAATCCAGTCGACTTGAGTTGAATTCATTCCAATCAAGTAAAATCACTGCCAACCAATTCAAGTCAAATCGAGTTAATTCAGGTCCAATCACGTCAAATCAGGTCGACCGGAAGAGACGAGGCAACAGGCGCGGACGTGTGAGGCTGGCAAAGACGTAAAAAGACGAGGCTACATCCAAAGTGTACGTCACCGAAGCGCAACCGAGACGAGTCCGCCGTCTTCTCTCGTCCAACTTCTACAACCGGCTCGTCGTGCAGCCACGACCGGTCACCATGGCCAAGGCGTCTGGACAACTGAGCCGCGGACCAAAGGGACAGAGGATGAGTGGAGCGCCATTAGACCCAGCAACAACTTGCCTCTGTCCGATCAATGATAGGCCGGCCAACTACTGTCGACTGACGACCACCGAGGCGTGTGCACAGAGGCGCATGCCTACGCCCATCTGCCCCCCGGCCGCCTCCCCTCGGGCCCGGGTTGCTGCCTTCTCCCAGAGCAATGGTCTGTACCAAAATAGTGTGTTCCGCCGACCCGTGCAGCCGGACGGCTCCAAGGGCCCGCTTGCCTGGCCGGTCGTCACGACGGTGAGTCGTGTCGGGGGCGCCAACGCGACTACCTTCCTCAAACGACCACTCCACACTCGCCAGGCCTCAGGCAGACACCGCGGCAGACGAAAGCGTCAAAACGTATACTTGGCCGTCCCACGGGAGGCAGATACAGACGCAGCAGTCTTATCTTTGTGTTTCCGTTTTGTCCCAGTTTTTACTTGCTCGCCGTCAACTTTAGCCGGAATATCTGATTTCCCATTGCCCCATCTATGCATCGTTGTGGCCATTTCTCGTCCAGCCGGACAGATGCATCTACCGACGCGACCATCTTGGCGGATGACTGCACACTCGAACCGACTCCGGCTGGTACAGAGGCCTTTTCAGACATCGTCCCAGTCGCGATTAGGCAGCCACCCAACCAATCCCCGGATGGTAGCATTGGTCGTAGATCCAACCAACCGGTGTCTATAGAGCAATCGTATGAAGCCTCATGAAAGGGGCGATTACGACAAAGCGATGGGAAAACAATTGGTGATTTGGGTCACGCCTCTTGCTCAATCAAGCCCCATGACTACCTTCTACCGGTGACCCAGCTAAAGGCAT